AAGAAATATATAGATATATAGATATATCGAAAATTATCTTTCAAACTCTGCGCAAATTGATGGAATTCAATTTGGACGCTGTGTGTGCTGTGTGGCTTCGAAGTTTGCGAATGTACTAGATTGGATCGAGAGACAATGGAATATGAAATAATACCCAAATAGCACAACAATAATGCAGATCACCTAAACAGATTAAATGTTCCCGTTTTCGTCGTTATATAGACGTATCGTTTGCTGCTGCTGTGCTTCGCTTCGGCTTTGGGTTCGCTTGTGTGTTTATTTCGCTCTTATCTTGGTCTCTCTTCCATTTTGCTTCGAGAAACATTTACTTCTTTTTTATTCAGCTAATATTACCTTTTTGTATACAATTGAATTTCAAATGCAAAAGACGTTTTCGATTCCGACTAACGATTATTATTAGTTTTTGTTTTTTTTTTTTTTTTGGTTCTGTCTACCATCATTTGGTTTTATCGATAAAAAATTTGCCGAAACAACCGTTTCGAATTGAAATAAAAATTTAAATCTACTTCATTTACTTACGTATTTATTTACAAAGAAAAAATCAACCGAAATAAAAAAAATATTTTATTCAAGGTATTGAAATTCAATTACCGTTTTGGAAATGCAATAAAAGAGAAATAAAAAAATATATCCAATTTTCAAAACAAACTTTCAAAAAGCGAACAAATGAAATTTCAAACGCTTAAAATTAGTGTTTTGACGTTTTCCATAAAACGATCGTACTAAATGAAAAAAAAGTCTGTACTAGAAACTGACTGACTAAAAGCCAACCAAGTGCCAAGTGCTGCCAGTCTGCCTCCGTCAGTTTGCCTCATTTCAGTGTAGAAAAAAAAAACACTGAAATTTCTATTTATTACACACAAACCGATCCGAACATCAAGATATACAACATTCATGCCACACGTACGTACCCACGTAGAAACAACATTTGCTTTTTGATGAACGAAGCGAGTAGAGAGACTTGAAATAATAAAAATAACGAAACGAAACGTACGTACCGTACGAAGGAATGAACGAACAAGCAACGCAGATGAAGAGAAGAAGCAAGCAAGCAAGCAAAAAAAATACCCACTATGTACGGGTTTGGTTATATATATTATGTACAATGGATTTTGTGTGCTGTTAGCACGAATAACGAATGAAAATGAACGAGGAGAGAGCGCGTAGTCGTTATGAGCCACACTCGGTATTTCGTTTTGGTTCGACAGTGTGAAATGAGTTTGCTTGAATAGCGAGTGAACGAAGGCTGCTAACCGAATGAACAAACGAACGAACGAACGAACGAGTGAGCGCGCACTCTTCCTCACTCGACGCTTCATGCATTTTGTTTAAATCAATGAGGGGTTTTTTTGTCGTCGTTGTCGTCGTGGTTGTTGCTGCTTTTCACTGTAAATGGCAATTTCTTTGTAAAAGATCTTTTCGGACCGACGACGGATTGGATCGACGTTGTCGAACGGAAATTGTGCTGTGTGAATGTGCTAACGCGCGCGCTGAGCGCAAATGTCCGAACTAATGAGAGAGGGCAAAGACTTGAAGATGTGAAACTCGGAACTGGAAACAACAAATAAAATGTTGCTTAATGAACATGTCAAAGTCTATCATGAGGATCAAAATTGTTCCACTTCAAGCACATTCTTTTTCGTACTCATATAGCCGAGACTTGGGCCGGCATTGGATGGTCGAAATTCGAATAAATTCCATATAAGTCATCATCCGAAAATAATACTTCAACACTCTGCTTTCATAGCAAATACGGACTAGGGAGATAGAGGCCGAATGGCCGAACTACTGCATTCATATTATATGTTCTGCTGTTGTGTGTCGCTATCATTCTGAGCAATGGTTTCAAAATGTGAACCGTGAAAGTAGCACTGGAACGAAACCATTGAAAAACAACAAAATTTCTGTGATAAATAGTATGAGCTAGTCAGAGAAAGAGAGCGAAAGGCAGAGAAAACGAAGAGACCTTCTCATTTTCCATTTAGTTTTGCTGTTGGATCAGGTTGGTTGTTCTATTGGCGGCTGGCTCTTTGGCTCGCTCGCTGGTGGACTTAGCACGATTCGTACTGAAGCCGATGTTCGTGTGGTTATGTGTTATGCATCAAAATTTTCCCGAGTGCTTGGCGAGCAAGAGAACGAACGGCAGAGATAGAGTGGATGTGAAAAACTAAGAGCGGCGCTTGTGTGAGTGATCGATTTTGCTGTGCAGCATATGTGATGGGTCGTATGTATGAATATCATGCAGAAATTTGTTTTTAACTGTTCAAATGTGCTCGTCCATAACATGTAGAAAATAACAGCAGGTAACAAGCTCCCCAAATTTGTCCATCCAGTCGATGCACGAAAACAAGTGGATTTTGAAAGAAATTATTGACCCGTAATACCCGGGGTACATATTCAATATGTTAGTTTCATAGCATAGGCAGGGCGCATGCAAAGTGAATATTAATGCGAATAACCCTCTCCCAGTCTCCATATCCCTGTATCGACATAGGCATGCATATTTTATGCAATTTTGCACTTGCATACCAAAACAAATTATCAAACAAATTTCATTCGACAAGCATAATTATGCACCGACTGGTGCGCGCCCGTTTAATGCATGTGCACTTTTTGTGAAAAATTTGTTAGAGAGTTTATTTATCACCATTAATTACTCAAGAAAAAAAAACTGCTATAAATTTTATATGTGCTATTAATATTTCGATCTCGCCCATGGATATGCCAACTATATTTCATACATCTCACAGGGGGATGCAATGCTTGCATTTCTACGGTATACATATATATATAGTTTTTATTACATAAAAAATAAACGAAAATCGATCATCAAATATAACAAAATCAACAATAATCTGTCACATCTGACACACAACGAACCCGAAACAAAACCAGCAGCAACAACAACAACAACATGACAAGTGTTTAAAAGAAAAAAACAAATTGTTACGCTAACTCACACGATTTTATTCAATTTGTAGCGTTTTTTCTCTCCTCTTGAGTTAAATCTCAACCGAGAACGGGAAAAAAAGCTCGTCACACAAGCGTCAAAATATTGCCCTAATTCAAAATGCGACGAAGAAGTCGAAGAAAAACAACATTTTGGATTGGGCTATTTTTGCCCTGACTGCATTTTTGGACCAAAGCCCAATTTTGATAAACATCATACAGAGAAGAAGTGTCACGCATCACAAAGACTGCATTATGTATATACACCACTGTCCATAATGGCATACTGAGAGAGGAAAAAACACACACATACACACAATCACATCAACAACTTAAGTGCATTTCCCAATTTTCAACATCAACAACAACAACGTTGACAGCAGTAGCAGCAGCAAAAAAGCATGCCTGAGTGCATCATTTGGTTTCGCATTTTTCTTTCTTTCGCTTTTTTGTTTCAAGTTGTTTGATACAAATTCCATAAACAGTTCGATTTTGGAAACAATTTCGGAAACTGACATCGAATCGATCAACAACAAACAGAACACTGCAGTTGGTGAAATTATTAGTCAGAAATTGAAATGACAATAAATCTCAACCGAAATGCAATGAGAGAGTGAAGAAAAAAGCTACGATATACATCAGTTTTAATTGAATTCGCTATAAATTTATGGCTTCTCAAATCATTCATTTGATTGAAAGCAAAGCGAAAAGAAACAGCGAATAAAAAAACTACAACATTCAGTTGACATGCCCGAAAACAATAACATCAACAAATCACCGTTGCTGTTTTTGTTTTTTTTTCTTCTTTCGTTGCTCTCTGCGATACATCGTTCGCTTGAACGAAAAGTGGAGAGTGTGTGGAAAACGGCGAATGTGGGCCCATGAGAGTGAGAAAGACAGAGAGAGAGAGAGAGAGCGCAAGCGAGAGAGTGGGAAACACAGTAAAGTTTCGTGCAGAAAACACAACTGTCATTCGACATTCATGTTTGACATATTGCCTTTGATTTCACGTTATTTGCTTTGTAGTTGTGTTCACATGTGCATACACGGCGTTTTCAAAAGTGGTCTTGATTAAATTTCCTACGGAACGCGCACTGATCGCATCTGTGATGTTTGACGGATTTTTGCTTTGGTGTTTTCGTATGGAAATTGGTGAGAAGTTTGATTTTTCGTCGAAGATTTTTTCTTTCCTTTGGGAATATGGAATATTCAATTGCATTGAATGACACAAACGTATGGATTACCCTTGATTTACGCTTGAATTAGACTGAATAAACTGCGTTTTTTGACGAAATTTTGTGGCTGACATTGCTCATTTTTTGACGGAATGCTAATTGAAAATTTCTTGGTTCGCATAGCACCTTCGAGAGGCTACGGTAAAATGAAGAGTTTTCTTATGTTTATTCAAGGTCTATTTTTATGGTTATTTATGATTCAAACATTCAGTTCGATTTCAAGCATTGTCATCATCATTGGCAACGCCACATTGGAAAACTTCTCTCACAAATAAGCGCCACTAAGTCACTTTAATCTTCATTGTTGATTGGCAAAAGACCTGCCAGAGCAATATCAAATACAAAAATCATATCAATAACATCCGAAAAAAAGGACTGGAAAAATCGAAGGTTATTTTTTTTTAAATTGGAATGAAGTTCATGCGAATTTTACGTATTTTTGTGTTTTCTTTGCCATTTTCTGCAATTCATTTTCCATGAACGTATTTATGACATCAAAACCGAGTGAGTTTTCGCCTCTTTTGATCTCTGTTCATTCGTCATTTCGGTCAAACAACTTGAAAAGTACTTAAAATAACCAAACTTAAACCTCAGCATATTTTCTGCCTTTTTTTACATAGACGATGCAAGCAGCACCACAAAAACAACAATAACAGCAACAACAACAATAAACTAAAAACACTTAACAGTCACTCTCAATTTGACAGTTCGAATCAAAAGGAAATTGATTGTGTGCGAATATTCGTGTTTCGTTGGTGTTTAATTTGTGCGTTTTGTCTATATATATATACATACATCTATTACTCGAAGGATTAACTTGGTTCAATTCAGAAATGAATATGTGTGTACCTTTTGTTGATATTAAAAATGTTTCGTGTGTGTTTCGGTTAAAAAATGGTTTGTTTTCGGTGTTGCGCGCGGTGTTTTCATTCAGCGGTGTACTCTAAATCTCACGGCAAGAAAAGTCTCACGGAAAAATAAACCACGATAGAGAAAAAAAAACAAACGAACCGTAAATGTAGTTTTATCCTTTTATTTCGATGTTGGTCTCTTTTTATTTCTTAGTTTGTGAGATGCCGTTTGGACTTTTTCTGTTTGTCTCTCGGCAAACAACACACAAACTAGCAATTAAACGTTTTTTTTTCCTCAGCTTTCTGCTTCAGCAATGAAAAATTGTACGAATACGTTATTTTCCCCGCTGAATTGAACTTAAAAAATCAAAATAAAAACACAAAACGACACAAACACTGCATTTAATATTTTCCTTTCTATTTTCTCTAGTAAAAACCACAAAAAAATCGCTTTGAATTGATTTTTTTGTTATAAGTAAAACAAATTTTTTTTGGTCGTTTTTGTTTGTTTCGCGTTCAGTTCGGAATGATGGTTGAGTTATGACTATTACTGACTATTTCAAATACTTACAACACCGAATCTGCTTCGAAGTATACAACACACAATATGGATGCCTCGTTCACATCGACACGAACGTTTTCATCGAGCGCGCTCGCCGTTTGTGTGTATATACCGTATATATGGGAGAACGACAACGACAACGACATACACGCACACATACAGATGAAGATAAAGACAGTAGATTCGTAGAGCGGTATGGTGAGCGGTATATTGCGGTCTTTCTACAGTAAAATTGAAGCGAGGATGGATATAGCGAGAGTGTGTATATGTGTGTGTGTGTGTGTGTGTGTGTGTGTGTGTGTGTGCCTGTGCATGCTTTGGATGTGTATGCGTGACGTGAATATGGTGTGTGTACACGAGCGAAAATGATCAAAATCAGTCGGAATGGGAATGAATAATATGGTAGCATTTTGAAGTAAAAGCGCGTCGCATAGGAAATGCGAAGGGAATTCATCGATGTGCATGTGTCAGTTTGAACATTTGCGGCATGAAACGAAGAAGACAAATGAATTGAACACAGCACCAAATGAAATAAAGAACTAGAAAAAAACTATCCCTCGTTTACAGAGTGAATTGAGGTAGACTACTTTGTATAGGTGTTAAATTGACATATTCGAATAGGTCGTATCGAAAATGGGCAATATTTTTGCTGCTTTTAATATTACCCATTCTCTCAACCGTCCTATTCAACTCGATCAGCTTCATTTATTTTAACTGGAAATTTTTCGCTTTTATATCTACAATTTTGCCGATAAATTTTCTGATATTCATGCCAGTGAGTGAGTCAGCGGCAATGTCCTCAATTTCGTGCAACTCTAACATAAAGCGTCAACCACAAAGCTTGACATTGTGTGTGCATGCCCGTGTCGATGTATATAAAGTATTACTTAGCGTTGTGTGTGCGAGTGTGTTTCATTGCTGTACCAAATGCTGAAATTTTAAACGTACCGTGTATAAACCGAGAGAATATGGAAACAACAATTTCTACGATTTCGCCCAATCCCATGCGAAATCAGTGTGCGATGTGGTGCGGCTGCTGCTGCTGCTGCTGTTGTGGCGCTGCTACAGCAAAATTGGTCATTGCTTGCTGGATATGTACACATATATTACTCGTCTTCTCGTTCTCTTCTCCACATATGCCATCGCTATATAAAGTTTCGAGTCTCGGCTACATACTTAAAATCGTTGCACATATAAAATCCATTCGTTTTCTCACACAACCGAACATCGAAATGTACTCGAGAGTATAAGTAAATAAGCGTATAGGTCGATTGAGACGGGTATTATATCGTATGTTATTCGGGTTTTTTTTTGTTCGTTGCTGCTGCTGCTTCTCTTTATTCCTCCTATAATATAATACTCAGCTAAGCAGGAACATTATACTTACGCTAAGTTCGTTTTCCATTTGAACGGAATATTTAACGTGAAGCATTATTTCTCGCCTTCAAGTATGGTATGTGTGTGTGTGCTTGTCACGCTGAGCGCGTGTGTCTATGTATATTTGAAATACTAGACGAATGGCAAATTGAATTGAAAATGCAGCATCGAGAGCAGAGCACACAAAACGATTCAGACTGAATGAAAAGCGGGCATAAGCGTCATGACAGAGATGGAGCGATAAAGAGGGACACGCAGACACGCGGATGTGCATGAAAAATGCCTGTCAAAAAGAAACCATACACAGTTACGCTCTTAGCTTGCACACGGCTGTTTTATGCCTGCCGTACATTAAACGACTGGCAACTCGCTCACAGCACCGCGGTACCTTTCCATTTCATCGTTTTTCCATACATACATTCGACGTTTTAGGGTTTTTCCTCTTCTTCTCTGTTCGGCTTCTTCATTTCGGAGAACGATTTGCACCCCCTTTTTTTGCGGCCGTGTGTATTTGATTGAGCCGCATTTTCGGCACCTTTGCGCTTCAGGTCATTTTACGCACGTTTGTATTTCGTCGAGCTGAACGTCGTGTTGTTGTTAAATATACATCTCTCGTTCGTTCGTTCGAATATGATCAACAATTTTCAGTGTAAGCGAACATCGAACGACTGTGAGTACACACAATTTTCGAGCAACTAATGAGGCAACATGAAGCGACAACCATAAAAAAAAATTGCAAAGTTTGCTCGTTAAAACAACAAACGATGATGGCGATGACTATGATGATGATGGGCGAATGAACACAGCAAGAAGTACCAACGATGACGACGACAACGACGACAGACAAATGATGGAACGAAAGAAAGCTCACACCATTCACCGATTGCATCGGACTCACATAAGTCGCATTTTCGAACTGGACTCATTTCCAGCAATCCGTTCCGTTCTTTTCATTCATTGTCGTTGTGTTTTTCCTCGTCTTTCTTTATATTTGATGCGTGCAAAAATGCTACTGCCACACACACACACACACACACACACACACTCACCATTCCATTAAAAATAAAACGAAAAAGAAAATGTAGTAGCAAAACAGCAGTACATATATATCTATTGTAAGTGAGGTCTTAAGTAGCGTATCTAATTTCCATTGTGAATGTCAATCGATAATAGTTCATTAGGAGCTGTTTTATTTGTTAAAGTTTGCTGCTTTTTTCCCTCTTTTCTTGTCATTTTTAGGTGGAAGTGTATGGTTCCGTTGAGTTTTTGCAAACGAGCCGCATTTCCAGTGAATCAATTTGAAATTCCCTCGAAACGTTATGTCGACAAACGACGTCAACAGCGACGACAATTTCTTGCCATCGCACGAAATGTGATCTTTAACGTCGGCAAGAGGCCAACAAAATTGAATAAAATAAAAGGCAAACACTCAAACATACACACAGACGCTGCAAGCACATGCACACATTGACATTTCAGATGGGTACACACTACACACACACACAAACACAGAGAGATAGAGCAACCGAGCGAGCGAGCGAGCATATACAATAAATCGACCATCATCATTGTATACTCGGATGCATATGGCGATCTATTTCATACGGTGTGTACTTATGTGCACATAATTTTTGTCCTTCGTTCCATTCCGATCGAAGTGAAGTGAAGTGAAGAGAAGAGAATACCGAGCGCAAAAAAAAAACGTAACGTCAACGGATCAATTGTGTTTGCTACTGCATTCATTCCGATTCATACAGTGCAGCAAAAATGTACGCTGAACACGAATCGAGAAAAAGAAGAAGAAGAAGGAGGAGAACAAAAAATAAATATGCTATTAACTCCTAGAAAAATGCTGCACTGGAATAGCTGAATAACATACAACAACAACAGCAGCAGTAAACACATCAAGTACATTAACATTTATATTTCAATGCAGCACATATACAGTGTCAGCAGTATGTATACATATGCTCACTGCTGCTTACGGCCTAATGCGATTGCGTGTGTATGTGTGTTTCTCAGTATATATGATACGTAGTCCCCTATGTTAGAAAGTTCGTTTTTTTTTCTTCGTAATTATGATATTTAATGGATGAACGATTAAATATGAAAAAGTATTTCAAAGTATTCACATATCGTTGAAAGTTTGAAAATAACAACAACAAAAGCTGATGAGATTGAGAGAGAGTGAGAGAGAGAATGAAAAATGCATTCAAAAAATGCCATTAAAATGAATAATAACAAAGTTCAACAAATATATATGCATCATAACAGAAAAAAACGGCTGAATAAATAAATAAAAAAGAAGAAGAAGAAGAAGGTTGACATAACACATCCCCTATCATTAATTTGTCGTTTTTATTTATTCAGCTGAAACACCGATTCGAAATCTACATTTTCCCAAATAAATTTAACCACTGCCGCCATCTCTGAACATAAATGTGAAGCGAACGAGACATTTGTGACTTTTCATACGGTGCAGCTGCTTTCAAATGTGTTTCTGCTTCAATTCCTCAATTCTCTTTGTTCTTTTATCACAAGGAAAGCACTCGATGTGCTCAACGGAAATGATTCGAACAAATTTTTTGGGCAATTTTTGTGAAATAAAAGAAAAAACATTATGAAAAACAAAATGAAAATCGTAAAAAAGTGATCAAAAAAGTATGACCAAATCTCCAATAATCACCAAAATTCAACGTAAATCATTCAAATATGGGGGATTCAACTTAAACATTGCATTCAACGAACATACCCGAAAATTTTTCATTGTGGCAACTGAACCCGCCGTCGCTCTCTCATAAGATACAATATGATTGTTTTGACTATTCAACTCCGGTTCAGAATCATCCGGTTAACACATCCATTCTCTCTATCTGTGCATACTAACACATTCAAAAACGCCACTACGAACGGTCACGATTTTTCAATCGATGTGCACGAGTGTAAGCGGGATAAAAAGATATAAACCGAAACCATAATAGATTCCGTCAGATAGAAAACTATGAAGTTTTCTAGACAAAACGATAAAAAGAGAGACCGAAAAAAGGGAGTGAAAGAGCAAACAAGAACGATATCGCATACACATATTGTGTGTGGTGTGCAAACGCAACCGGAGAATTGTATATACACAAAAAAAAGCCAGCCTAGAACGGCTCTAAAAAACAATGTTCGCAACAGCAGAAGCAGCAGCAGCAGCCAATAGTTTAAGGTTTTAATACACACATTCCATGGTTTCGGTGTTCGGAACGAGAACAAAACGAAATATAAAGGCAAATATACACACGAATAAAAATAACGAAGTTCAATTGCGTATTGTTGACATTCATATTGACACATTCAACGTTTAAAAAAATTTTTTTATTCGAATACATTACTGTTTTCGATGTTTCTGTTTTTTGTTTTCATCATCTAAATAAACGAACAAATATTTCAAAAAAAAAACAACAAAATCGTAATGTGAAATTGTTAAGTGTATCAGAGAAATTTTCGGAATAAGAATGTTATAAAGTGGTTTTGTTTTTTTTTCTTCGGTTGGGCGTTTGTGATTGAATTTCAAGAGAACATAGAACATTCTACCAAAAGGTGTACCGGGTATAACAACAACAACATAAAAAAAGGATTTCGAAATGTAAAGAAACGTGTCAAATTCTCGAACAAAACAAAATTAATCGAAATTTTATGGAAATTGTGCGAATTTCCCATGTATGGTTGAGTTTGAACGCCAAATATTACCCATTCATGGATGGTAAATGATCTCAAGAATATGATCAGTGTTTGTTCGCCTACGAAAAAAAAATACCTTTACGCATCCAAATGGACAACAAAATAAACAATAAACTATGAATGCCCCAGCTCTGAATGAGAGCACGGAGCTCTGAATGAGAGTGAAAACGGTAAAATCATATTTTGTTGGGTAAAGAGCACGAAAGTACACGCACACGGTGTGTGTGTGAGAGAGTGTAGTTTTTCTTTCGTTACCCGCCAAAATCAATGTGTGTCCGCCTGAATGGTGATCGAATCGTGTTAGAGAGACCATTGAAGAGACAACATTCGTAGTGGTACGTGCGTGCGTTGCCGATAGAGGCTAGAAACAAATAAAACAACAGAAAACGGGAAAGACAACGCAAAAACAGAGCGAGAATTGAGAGGGAAAAAGTGTCATTTGTTCGCGCATTCGAGTATATTTATCCTGACCATACACATTGCATCTATCGATTGAACCTGGTAAGTGACAATAGCACGTATTGAGTGGTGTATATAAACAAGCAATATCGAGCGAACGAGCAAATGGAAAAAAAAATCGAATTTTTTCCGACACAATACCATTTGGAATTTAGGTTATTCCGAACGGAATTATCGAAGGGGCCTCAAACTGGATTCACTTTGGAAAACTTTGAAATCACATTAAAGGCACGCATCTAGATAAACAAAAAAAACAGCGCAGAGAAAAACAACAACAAGAAAAACATAAAAGAAAGAAGAAGAAGAAGAAAACGCACAATAAATTCAAAGAACTCGCGATGAGAATATGTCACAGTGAGCCTCCTATCTAATGAAGATAAACCAGTGAATAATATCAAGAGTGTTTTGTTAATGAGAAATATTTATGATACTTTGTTTACAGTTTACTCGACTGTCTTCTTCATGTTTGCGCTTTTTTTTTCTTCCTCTTCTCGTTCTCTTGTCTCATCTCTGTCATCGAATCTCATCACAAAAACCTTCACACATACGCCGTTTGCATGACAAATTGCGTGATTATAAACGTTTGTCTATCCGCTCTTTGCCACTTCCATTAAAAAAAAAATTGTGTTTGACAAGCCGAAAACGAAAGGAATGAAAAACACACCAAACAAACAATGTGTACATTAATTGATTAAAATGATGCCTTTCATGTTCGTTGATCCGTCCAATAAAATGTGTTTGTTTAGTTGTTGTCGTTACGTTTTACGCGACCCGCGATTAAATAATAAGCAAACCACCACTAAATAGTAGCCGATAGAATGTTTGTTGATTTCAATAATAAAATGTCCTTAGCTGTTTACTGATGTACATTCAGCCGCCGTGAACGCCATTGGAATTTTAAAGCAAAAACAACTCTCACTGTGTGTGTGTGTGTGTGTGTTTGGTGTGTGTGTGTGTTTGGTGTGTGTGTGTGTGTGTGTGTGCGTATCACGTGGAGAAAAAGAAAAGGGGCGACCAAAGTGAACGAAAGACCCAAAACTGTTTGTAATTATTTACATGTTTTATAGCTGGTTGAACATACAATCGTGTTAATTCCAATTCGATATATCAGAATTTATGCATGCCGACGCGATATATGTGTATACAACGAAAATGGTGTTATTGTATTGCAGTTTCAAGATAAATTAATTTGAATGAGAGAAGATGATTACGAGCGAGGGGAAAGATCAATTGACAGACAATGTTTGAAAAAGATATTTTCTGTTTATAATATGGGCGGCCTTCTCTCGTGATGAAGTCTCGCGTTTTTCTTGTTCATTTTTTTATCTTCTTCAATTTTGCAACGTCAATCGTTTTTTCTTCCACATCTTTCCGTCCAGCCAATCAATTCGAGACAATAACAAACAAACAAAAAAACGTCTCATTAAACGACGCCGTTTTCAATCAATTCAATCACCTATAAATGACAAGTCCAAAAATAGACGACCATTAAACGCTACATTTCATCTGAGAAATGTTTGCGATTTCACACTATTCTTCATTATCTAAGGCAAAAGAGAATTGAAAATTTCGCGATGATTTTCCAAGAAAGCAAAAACTTCAAAGCCAAGAATTTCACGCTATTTCTATTTATATTTGAAATGTGTTACCCCCGCGGTTGTTTGTTATTTTGAAGATCAGATTGAGGAATGAAGCACATCATCAAATGCAGCAATTGTCTTAATTATTCATCGCATTTAATGTTTTTTTTTCTTTTGCTTCTCCTTCGGCTGCTTCTACAGTTTTGTGCCGTTAGCGAGTATGGAATGTACACGATTTGTATACACACACGGTGAGTGTATGTTTTCGGTACTTCTCGCTTAGTACGCAACGAGAAAGAAAAAAATATAACAAGAAAAAAAATGCCGTTATCATGTTTCCATTTCTATTTCTATTTCTATTTGGGTATGCGTTCATTTTTGCGCGCTCAATGTACACTTTAACAATGAGCCTGGCTGTCTCATGCATTGTGCACGGTTCTTGTGCTCGCTCACTGCATTTTTACAGTTGAAAGTGAGGCATAATTGTTGATGCACTTTGAAATTGCTGTTTGCTGTTATCCGACTTTTTCTTTTTTTTGTTTCGCTCATATCATCGCTCCTCTTCTTCGACCTACGTATTTTCTCTTTATTTGATGACTTTATATTTTATTTTCATTGTGACTGCATTTTATTTCGATTAATTACAGTTTGAAATTATACGGAGGGAGTTCAAGTACGCGTACTCATACCGCGCTCTGGTTGGTCGGAGAGATCGAGACACAGACAAAGATAGATGAGTCAAGTTTTTGATAATTTCGGTACGTGCATTCATAATGGATGATTTTCAATTGTTTGATGGTGCACGAAGAACGGATTCAACACGAACCACCCATAATCCAGAACCGAAATTCTACGCAGACTTAAGCATATTTGCGTGAATGCGATTGTCATTTCATCAAGAAAACAGAGACGAAGTAGAAGAATAACAACTAGACAACATAATCATCCAGTGACGTATTTATTTGTGACAAATATCGAAATAATATGCCTTGGTGGACGTGCTTCAATTGCGCCAGCAAGACAACACAAACCAATTGTAATGACGTTTTCGTCTTGGATTACGCACATCATTCGCTTCACGATGTACCGGCCGATGTATTTCAATACGAAAGAACGCTGGAAGAACTGTATCTTTCATCGAATCGGGTGAGTGGGCTGCTTTTTTCCATGCCTTCTTTTGCGACATTCTTTTCAATCGAATGGTCCTACATTTTTTTTTTCGTTATTTCTGAATTTTTCTCACCTTGAAAGAGAATTTTCTCCGGTGTTGCAGAAAAATTTCTTACCAATAAAAAACTAGAATTGGTTGTTTACCAATAAAAAACTAGAAAAATTTGGAAAAATGTAGAAAAACTGAAAAAAAGCCAAAAGTCGATAAAAATATAGAGGAAAAACGGGCTAGCAATTTTAAAATTCAAATTTATCAGACAATTTGTTAATTTTTTGATTAATTTTCAATTTTTATTTCTTCAAATAAAAGATCACCGAATTGCCGAGACAATTGTTCCTGTGCCACGGACTGAAAGTGTTGGATCTCAGCGATAATGATCTATCATCAATACCAACGGCCCTTTCATCATTGACCAACATGAGAAAAATCAATTTAGCACGAAACTGTAAGTGATTTGACACGACATTGAGCAATAAAAAACTTGCCCAGAATCGGTATTTTTCGTATATTCATTCGAATTAATATTAATGGAACATTGATTTAGACACTAATACTTTTGATTGACACATTGTGATTGAGTTTTTTTTCACTAATGGGCGCGTAAAATGATTTCAAAATTTGTTGACAACCGAAAAAATCGATTCTGTGAAATTCCTCAAATCAATAACTATTAACAATTCTCTCTCTCTCTCTCTGTCTATCTCTTTCTCTTCCCATGGCAGCCTTGATTCGACTCACCGATTCGATAATCGCGTGCAAATCGTTAACATTTTTGGATTTAAGTATAAACAGTTTGGAGAAGCTTCCAGATGCCATAACCAGTTTATTTGGGCTCGAAGAGCTCTATTTGAATGATACATTTTTAGAGTATTTACCGGCTAATTTTGGTCGACTAACCAATTTACGCATACTCGAATTACGTGATAATAATTTGATAACACTGCCAAAGTCCATGAATCGTTTGCAGTGCTTGAAACGGCTTGATATTGGCAACAATGAATTTACCGAATTGCCCGAGGTGATTGGAAGTTTGACGGCGTTGAATGAATTGTGGGTTGATGGAAATCGTATACGACGCTTCAATTGCAATGTATCGAATTTGAAAGAACTGGTGCATTTCGATGCAAGTAATAATTTAATACAATATCTACCGACGGAGATTGGCAGCTGGCAACGATGTCAGGAATTGTGTTTGTCGGCCAATGAAATTGAAGAGTTGCCATTTTCCATTGGAATGATGAAATCATTGATTGCATTGAAAATGGATGAGAATCAATTGCAAGAATTACCCGATTCAATATGCGAAATGGAAAGTCTCGAAGAGCTGATGGTCAGCCATAATGATTTATTCAAATTGCCCAGCACCATTGGACTGATGCGTCGACTGAGATTTTTAACAGGTAAAAAATGCAAATGAATTTTTATTTTTTTTTTTTTTAAATTTGGGTGATCTTGATGAAATCAAACGATTTGCGGTGGGAATTGGATTTCGGATTGGTTGGGAATAATTCTGGTTGAAAATTTCCGTCTCAAATCATTGCCTCTGCAAATTTTCACATTTAAAATCGAATTCGCTTCAAATACCATTACCTAAGAGTAGAAGGTTTTGAATTGAATTTCCCATTGAGCTGATATTAATTCAATATTTGTCTTTTTCTTCTTCCAACAGCCGATGAGAATTTGATTCGATCGTTACCGAACGAAATTTGCAGTTGCTCCAGTCTGACAATACTGAGTGTGCGTGGCAATAAATTGACAAAAATCCCGGTAGACATTGGCCGCCTGACACAATTACGTGTTCTGAATATTGTCAATAATTTCTTAAGCAATTTACCAGTGACCATACTGAATTTAACACAATTGTCCGCCCTGTGGATATCCGACAATCAGAGTCAACCGTTAATGCCTTTACAAAAAGAATTCCACAAAGAGTCGCAATGTTTTTATTTGACCTGTTACCTATTGCCGCAAGTGTACACTACAAATGCAACGCCAACACCAAATGCACCGCCATCCACATCAACGGCACCGGATAGTAATTATGATTATTATGCACCATCGACCTGTGATACAAATTCGCAAACAAATATGCATATCGCTGCCTTAGAGAATCTATCGTTGGCTGCCATTGCACAGCAGAAGCGAAAACGAAATATTTGCTTTGCATCCGATCCACCACAAGAGATTGCACCAAATTTGAGGCTAATGCGTTCACCGACACCATATCCCAAAGAATTGCGAATGATGCAAGCCAAATTCGCGGCCAATAAAATGCAACACCAGCAAATCCATATGCAACGGCATGCACAACAACAAGAGAATGGCACAAATAATCTCGACAAACATAGTAACACGAAACCGTTGAACACGATGAACACGGAAAATATTATGAATATGCAAGCACAACAGCAGCAGCCGCCGCCGCCGCAGCAGCAGCAGCAGCAAGCGACCAGTTCGAATGATTTTGATGCCGCAAACCATTTGCATGGCATGCCACCGATGATGAACAACATCGGAAACGACATGACCATCGGCAATATGAGCGTACCAAATATCAATATGAACAATGTTCCAAATGCAAACATCAATATGAATCTTTCAAATGCAAATGTCAATATCAGCGTGCCCAATATGAATCTAGCGAATATGAGCATACAATCGCGTCAACATTTACCGCCACTTAATCAGCCACATCAACCGCTCGAATACAACAATGTTTCACGACAATTTCCATCCAATCCGAATGCCTACGGTGACATGTACCGAAGTGACAGCCGAATGCAAACACCAATCATGCATAGCACCGGCATTAACAATGACTTAGTTCAGTATGATTCCATGAACGCCGTGCGACGAAATGCATCCGGTTTTCCCGAATCTGACACCGTCGATTATAATGACGAAGAAAATGGCCTACCAAATAATGATATCAACCAACAGCAACATCAATCATATCATACAACCCATCCATACGATACGAATTCGATTGATGATGACAGTGATTTGAAAACCAACCATCATCTTCAGTCGTATCCAGTCGTACCAATGGACACCGAAACCAATCACAACAACATCCATTTGGATACACCGCAGGTAATTCACACGTTGACCGACATTTTTTTTTCTTTTTTTTTTTGGTTTTCTTCTTTGATATTGATGTTGTATTTTGAGTACACTTCATTGAGACATTTTGTTTTCCAAACTTATCAAATAGAAATTGAGAAAACTCAATCAAATCTCATCGAATAACTGTTGGTCCAAATTCAATTCCAGGTTCGGAATGAATCCAAAATTTCATTTAGATTAAATTTCATTTTACCTTTAGGATTCCCTTCAAAACCAAATTTTAAAATAATAAAACCTTTTCTGCTCTTCCACAGCAACAACCGCCACCGTATCACATAGCTAAGGCGTTTACGAAAAAAACCAAACAAGATTTACTCATTTACGATATCTATCGAAATAACTATCAGCAAAATGTAACCAAATCAATGGATCAACCGGATCATCCAGATAATTCGTTGTCAACGCAAGATGCCAGCGAAAGCAATTCGACCATAAGCAATTCATTCAATATCGTTGATTCGGACAACAATGAAATCAACACAAATGAAACCATCAACCATAGCCGTAACGATTCGTTGTTGCAATCGAAAACACCGTGGCTCTTTGGCGAACATAAAAATCCAACTGTGGTTAGTATCTGCAGACAAATTCTCAATCTTTTTTTTTCATTTCTCCATTGAAAATACGTTCAATTCCCGTCTCTTTTTTCACGCTAGATGCAATTGAGTGTTCCGAAAGTTTCAAGTGATATTGGATTTAAGATCGTTAAACATTTAAATCAGGTAGCGTATAATTGACATGCTTGAATTCAAGTGAATTTCTCAATTAATTGTTGTCATTTCATATTTTTGGCAGGGAATATTTATAAGTGATGTGGAAAAGCATTCATCGGCGTACGGTAAACTGAGTGTGAGGGATAAAATTTTGGATGTTGATGGCGTTGATTTCAGCCGAATATCATTGGTCGATGCAGAAACGGTTCTATCGAATGCTGGATCAGTGATGAATATCATGATATCGCGTGATAAATGAACATTCTTTGTTGTAAAAGTAAACAACAACAACAACAAAAACTACTACCAATTATTTGAGCAATAGCGTTATTTCTACGTGTTTCCGAATACCAATTTTTTCACACACATACACGTTCAATTGTACAATGCTAATAACTTAAATCGATGAGACTAATTTTTTTTTTTTGCATTATAATGATTTTTTTTTTTCATAGAAATTCAATTCGTAGCAAGTAAAAAAACAAAGATTTTTTTTTTGTACGAAATTGCATAAAAACCCGAAGCAAAGATTTAGCTTCACTGCATTGAATATAACCAATTTTTTTTCTTCACCCTCTCTCTCTCTTCCTCTCTCTTACATGTGAATAGTTCGAAATTTAAATTAAAAGTAAATTAAATTATCAATGATATTCTGTTTATTTATTTCTTTCATCTCAATATAACAATAACATGATGATCTTTTGATAGTTGAACGTCTAGCTGTTGACAGCTAATGCCTCGCTTTGTACAAATTTCATCGTATGATTTCAGTCCATTGTAGTAATGTTGGCATTGATTGTTCGATTGTAGTGTGGTGCGTTCATGTGAATTGAATGTGAATCGATTGTTTGATGTTGTATCATGGTTGTCGTTCATTTGCACACCATTCGTTCGATTCATCAGTTTGTCGCGTTGATTGCGGGGTAACGGTTGACTGCCCGAATTATGGTTATTGTAATAGTTATTGTTTGATTGTGTTCCAGTCACACTTGGAATGGGCGATCGTATCGGTTCATAATCATAGAATACATTTCGTTGCACTGTGATCGGATATTTGTCGACACGTCGAATTAAACCTTCGAGCAAACCGAACAACACCATTTTCCGTTCGTTGATATGCAACGCCGATGGATTGAAACGTACACACAGCTCACCGAATGTCGCTCCATGCGCCATCGAAGCAAATATCCGAAACACATCACGAACATTCGCTTTCGTTCCCGGCATATTTGTTTGGCTATTGATCTTTGTACATTGTTCGATGCATCGTTGTTGCAATTGTTTGCACGTGGCTAATTGTGACAGTTTGGGTGTTGGCCGATAAATGTTACAATATTGAAAAACGGGTATCACAGTGGCCACTCCCAATAATATCAAATGCCGGATACATTGCAGTGCCAGTCCCAATGCCACATCGGCTAATGATGCAATCCGAGCAATGTGATTGAATCCATTAATATATGGTAAAATCTGTTGGTTACATTTGAATAGCAATCCGAAGAAGAAGAAGAAACACATTTTAAAAGCGTTGTCACGTTCGTTTAGCATAAATTAAGAAAAATCACTTACACGAAGTGTTGTCAGATCCCATTGCGACTCGACATAATTATAAAATTCACTTTTTAACACGGCCGCTACGTACGGTTTTACCACTGGTGGCTCTTTGTAATGCGGTACAATACACAATGGGATTATTGTACTCCCCTCTGGAATTTGAAAGAAAAACAACGAACGAAAGAAAGAGAAAGAGAAATATAAGTGAATATGAGCGGAAAAGAAAAAAAAATGGGAGCGAAAAAAGAACAGCGAAAACAACATCAGAGCGATTATGGAGAAAAGAATGAAGAAAAAACGAGAGACACAAAGACATGCAGAAAAAAAAACGACGGTCAAAGTCAACATAAATCAAAATGTAGCCGGTAGAAAATCAAACTAACCCTGAAGCATGCACATTTTCCGTCGATTTAAATCGGTGCGTATTTGTGTTAGCAATTTGATGAGCCGAGTCAGTTGTGCCGTATCTTCGGAGCATTGCGACAATATCTTGCTCGTTAGCTCAAGTGAAAGCTGAAAAACAAAAAAACAAATGTTTATGAAATACAAAGAATGAAACATGCTAATGAATAATTAACTCGAGAAGTGTGTATGCGTGTGTGTTTACTACTTTTTCTCTTTGTTAATGTAACCGTTTTTACCATGTATTCGCTTATCTTGCGTATAATCTCTTCAAAGACAACAGTTCGAGTGGTCGGTGCGAAAACGAAACAAAAATTAAAATAGAATGCATTCCTCGCGTACAACTTGTTATCGATACGCACTGGATAGCCCAAAAATTTCTTACCCAGCAGTGATCTACAAATTTATACGCACGCAAGCACGCATAGAAAGAGAGATAGAGAGAGAGAGAGAAATTTGATGAGAATTAAGCGTTTGCTGTTGGTTTTAATTGTTTCCAGATGTTCGATATTCTTTACATACACACTAACGAAACATCGTTGCAGTTGAGCCTTTGGTATCACATACTGGCTGATCGTATCGAATACATCTTTTGATATATAATTATTTGGTACTTGGGTGACAATTTGTGGTCCAGCTGTTGCATGAAATTTGCAAAAGAATATGCATTTAATAAAATTATCACCCCTATCATCCTTATCACTATCGGAGCCCTTTGACAACACCGACATCGAATCTCTTGCACTTATTCCCGCCGCATCCGCCATCACTGTACACAATCGCCGTTTATTTTTGTCTTTATTTGTTTGTTTTTTTTTCGCGCTTTTTTTATTATTAACAAAATTTATCAACGTCCAAACTGATTGTAGTCCATACATCGACTAGAGGCTACTACGTGATATCTATGGTATGCCATTTACACGATTTCATTATAAATGTTTTCGATTAAATTGGCCTCCACAAACTAACAAACAAAGATAAATACAAAATCATATGGTCGGTGTAGTATAAACAAAGTCAAAATGGAAATATATTACAATATTCTGTTCCGTTCGTTGTGACCGTCGTCGTCGTCGTCGTCAAGAGAGTGAGAGACAAAGCAGACAAGCAAGCGCAGCACAAAACATCGACTCACTCTCTTTGAGAGTATGAATGACTTTGCATATCACACCAAACTGATCAACTTTGAGAATAAACACAACACACGATCCCGATCCGACTCTCTCAAAATACGCATTCCATATGCGACGATACACAAATACTACCAAAAAAAAAACACATCGTCTCGGTTGATAAAGCCCAGTCCAGTTTCACATGTGATATGTGTGTATTTGTTGTGTATAAGAATGGATGGAAGAAAAAGAAAAGAAACAAAAATATTGTTTGTTTGCGTTATTGTTATCAGCAAAATTCTGTGATTCTTCCAAATGTATCGACACAATTCGCAAACGCAATTCTTATTGTCGATTCATGCGATATATGCGAGACGATGCAACAGTCAATTGATGTATGCTTCGAACGTACGTGTGACGATGCATTTATTGACGTATTTGGTATGAAAGCGAATTTTGAGTGGGCTGGCGGCAATTGCACATCGATTTTTGACCTGATTACTTACCATTTTTGGAAGGTCAAACTTCAAGTACCTGATTGTAGTCGAACTGCTATCGCTTGTTCAAATCGAAAAATTATCATTTTTATCTCTTTACCATGCAGTCTTACCTACAGTTACTATACATATTTCATACTTTGTAACAAACAAAAAATTGGACGATTTCAATCAATTTATTGATAGCACCAATTTCGAATAGAATTTATTGATAACACGTTTTAAATTCAAGTGGAATACTTACAATTTTTGACATTGTATTCAGATTTCTGATTTCTTTTATGGGTCAGAAACCCGAATGGAATTCGACAGAAAGAGAAAGAGCAAAAGAGTAAGAGTTCAGTTATCAATTTTGGCGTGAACAATGTAATACAAACCAAAATGTTAAAAGTGTTCAATCGAAATGACAATTTTTTTTGAAAAACCATTTCAACTTCTCCTTTCAAATTTCTTCAAACAACAAAAAATCATGCGAACACGTTAAATACATTCGTTTGATTTTTACAAAGACACTACGATTTTTTTACATTTTTCTTCGTTTTTCACTTCAATTTATGGATCAACACTGAAAATGTGCCCAGCAATAATAATTATTTATGAATAATTAACAAAATCACTAATAATCATAATTTGGGTTGAACAATTGATTGATCAGTATGAAATTTCTAATCATAATCCGGTCAATCCCGGAAGAAAAAGAACTTTTGAGTTTCAATGAAATTTATTTTACTCAATTGTTGAGTTAACCGGCACAGTGATTACTCAATTCGCTGGATGGATTGGGCAACGATGAATCCACCATGCTGTGTCTTGCCACTGGTAATTTTGTATGGCATATAACTAACTTTCCCTTCGACTAAAACTCTATCAAATTTGCTTATGCTATTTCGTAGTACACCAAGTGCAGGCTGATCGTACACAATGACACGATGAAATTCGGTGATGATCATTCCCGGTATTCTTCCTTCTCCTCTGTTGAATTAGAGAACATATTAGTTTCAAATTGAACATTTGATGACAATGACCAAGTTTCAATTGATTCATTTTTGAAAGTTTGTTCAATTTGATTGAAGTTTTTCAAAATTGAAATATAAAATGTTGAATACATTAATTGATTGAATTGGTTATTATATAGAATTGTCTTTCTATAGAATTATTTTCAATTAAAAAAAAAACTTTCTCTTTAAAAATCAATTCAACTTGAAAATAAAATTGAAAATTGATTCAATTTTTCATTTACATACTTTGGCATGTGATTGGATGACAGTGTAAACAGTGAGTGATTGTCGGCGTGTCGAATGTCCGATGTGATTTTGGCCAAAATCTTGACATTGTTCTGATCATTTTTGTTCTCTATATTACGTTCATGTCCACGCAGTCGACTGTATTTCGATTTGATTATCAATTTTTGCCGAAGACGTCCATCGTCCAATGAGAATGGCTTCGAGCTAAGATTGCCAAAGATGTAGATTCGTTCACCCATTGACATCGGTGCGTCTGATTTTAGGTTGACCAGATGATTGCAACTGTTGAATCACAAGAACATTTCAGAATCTTTAGAATTTTTTTTCTAAATAATGTGTTGATTTGCATGTTCTCTCATATTTCTCTCTATTCATCTTATACCAAATCAAGGCAACGAAACTTCCAATGAAGTAAATCCCAATGATTGCTCTTGAAATGGATAGAAATGGACAAAAATGGACATTCCCCGAATACTCACTATTTATCATTACCCTCAACAGTTCGAACGATTAGCGATCTGGTGCCATTTGGTAGGGTTCGTACATTGGACACAATTGTACCCAACAGTTTCACATAGTTATACTCTAAAAACATTCGAGAAATGAAATAAGATAATCGAAAGAACACAAATAAAATCAAACCTTCTTCTTCCTGTGCCAATGGAGCGGCTGTGGTGAATGGACGGCATTTTAACAGTTTATCGCCCGCATTTTTGGTAATTGTAAGATTTCGTAGCAGTGTCCGGAACATTTGATATAGAAAAATTGAAAATTTCGGCAATACACCAGACCACGATCTGTCAGAACATCTGTCACACACGAAGTTGTCGTCAAATATTTTCGTATTTTATTTTTACAGTTTTTCAAGTGAGCATGCTTATATATGATGGATCGTTGCAAGTCGGTTAGTCGGCATATCGATTGATTGAATTTTTGTAGTGAATTAAAAACGAAACAAAATGAATTTCATTTGACGATTTTTTTTTATTCAAAATAGCAAACTTCTACATAAAATTCCATTCTCAAATTTCACACCGTGTAATTTCATTCCAAGAAGCTTTGCTAATTCCAATCAAATTCACTAGATGGCATTGTACCACCCAAAATCGTATATTATGAATAGCTATCCGAATGCAAGTCGACTGTAAAGCGATTTAGTGTCCCATGTGGTTGCGTGAAATGTGTACGTGTTTTGCATTCAAATCGGAATCCGATAGGAAAAGGATTAAGCGAACAAAGTGAAAGAATGTTGGAGAAATTGTCGATACGGATAGTTGTTGTTGCGAATGGAAAAAAAAGCATCAAAAGCAAATCAAAGATATATTCAATTTAATTTGCATCGATGATCGCAGTTCAATGCCATTGATACAAATGAGAGACATATGTGTTTTTATGTTAACACTCATCGTTTGCATTGCGGCAAACTGATTCTCACATGCTTTCTTAGATAATGTCATTTTGTTTTTCATTCCTTCTTTCTTTCTATCTATCTTTGATGCATTCATTCGTTCACTGGTTCGTTGGATTTTTTTTTCTGTTCGGACATAGCGACAAAGTAGCTGTATTCAAATGAAACAGCCATTCTAGGTTCATTTGAATACATTGCGCCGCGATAGAAAAAGTGATTGTTCGCAGGGGGGGAAATGGACGACGGTTGAGAGCCTGTCCATCATCATCATCTGAATCGTGCGTCCTTTATGGGTGAAAAAAAAACTCACTTGGAATTGATGGGCATTAATGCCATGTATAGGCAACAAAATGTTATGAACAGGAAGGAACACAACCACACCACACTAGACACCTCTATTAATGATCGGCGAATGCGATGTGCATGGTTGTTTCGATTTTTTTTTTCTTCCTTCATCTACGGTTTTGTGCCCTGTGTGTGTGTGTGTGTGCGCGCTGTGCGCGCCAGTGTGAGAGATATGCATAATGTGATATTGAGAGAGTACTGATGCGCAGGTATTATCATATCGGAACGCATTAACAAAACCAAAGCGAACAGCCAATCATAAGATAATGTGCCGCGCTCTGGTTCTTTTCTTCTTCTATTTCAGTTCTGTAGTTTTTTTTCTGCTCTCTTCATTCTTTTATTCCATTTTTATTAGTTGCATGTTACGGGCTAAAAGAAAAAAAACACTACGGCTGCTGCTGTTTTGCATTGACTTTTCCATCATTCGCGAACAATCGCACAAAGTATTCTAACGGAACGAATGATTCAAGAATTCATTCATGATTACCACATATGTTTAATCGCTATTTTTAATCTGTTATTAAAATTAATTTCCAATTTGAAGAAGTCCCACATGAACATTTAATCGCTCATGGAAAGAGAAAAAAAAAATTGGTAGAAAAAAAAGAAAGGAGAATAAAGACGTGTTTGCCATAGATTTGCAATGTACGCACAGGATCGCGCTTGCCGATAAGCCCATAGCAATCGTCATTGCGGATTAATGCGTTTTTCGGTAACGTTTGGATTGGAAATTATTGTAAATGCCGAAGCATTGAACATTAGTTTTTTATTTCTGAGGAAGAAAATGAGACAGCGATCAATAAAATGATCTGAGAACAAGAAAATGACTCTGAATTGAAAAAAAAAAAAATAGCATCCCAGATCTTTGGCAGAGAGAAAAAGGCTACGCAACATTTTTCCCATTTCAACGATTTTCATTCGGTTCGAGAACGATCTAGCGAGAACGGGCTAATTTAATGTTCATTACATTTCGAGCGCACTTTTTCTGTAATTTGTTTTTTCTTTCTCCGTCCAATAATCGATTTATTGCATATTTCAATTGAACCGCTAAAGCAAAGTAAAAGCTACACAAAATATTAAACATAATAACCGATTCACAATGTATCACATACATAATCAAGCTCATTTAATGTAATTATATTCACCGCAATGAGCCTAACGCTATTGTGTGGCTTGGACACTGGCCATGCGTGCGTGTATGTGTGTGTGCGCGCTTTCGCGAGAGTCGTGGACAAATGAGTTGTGAGTGAGCGGCATCAGTAGTCACCCATCAGCTTTCAGATTCTGATTAGGCTCACATTACTCACAACTTAATCGTATATTCATACACATGGCATCGAATAGCAAGCGTTTGCAATAATGAATTAACTGTTATGCCGATTATTTGGTAGTAAAATCATTTTTTTAGAGCTCGCACGTTCTCTCTCTTCCTCTCTCTCTCAGGTTTGATCTAACTTTGGCTCCACACTTTGTTGTTCTCGCCTCAGAAAATAAACTAAACTAAAAAATGCATTATATATTTTTTTCAATTATTTATCTGCATGTGCCACTTTTTCCCGCTGCCTCGGTGCTAATCTATTCTCTGTCTCTCTCTGGTATTCCATAAAAATGGAAACGATCCGGTAGGAACAGACAACGCTGTTGTCTTTAATTAGGCTATTAGTGGACTGCTGCACTCCGTTCATGATACGCGTTTTGACAATATATATTATTATAACTGTGTCGCGTTGATGCCGGTTTTGTGGGAAAGTAAAAAAAAAATTATAAATAAATAAAGGAAACACCACCACGCCACGCCAGCTTACGTTCGATTTAATTTATATAAAAACATAGACCCAAATGAAGTGAATGAGAAAGCGAGCAGGCAAAGAGATTCGTTTCACATCCACATACTATTTAATTAAATCGGTAAAAAAAAATTAACACGCCGCCATTTCATCGTCGACGAGGCGATATCGATAGATGCACACATTTAATGGATGGATATTGTGTGTCGACATGGTAATCACATTCTTATTCTCATTCCCATTTTGCTCAATTGCAATTGATTGGATTTGTTCATTTCCAATTGGAATGAACCAAATCAATGCTCATTTTCTTCTTCGTCTGTAATTTGTGTTGTTTCAATTTTAAGGCTAATATCCATCCATACACGATCACAAACACGAATCGTGTCCACATTGACCCAATTACATTTGCTCCCCTTTTTCGGGATCGATGCAATTTTCGTACATTCAGCGAATCACGAATTCATTTCAATGCCATCAATTGCAAGACATTCGTTCTCGTATTAATTTTAGTAGCATTAGGCTCATGCCATAAGCTCATATCGCATACATCATCCATGTGCAGAATCCATACTATGGATGATGTGGTGAAATAATGCATACAACCTCATTTTGATCATGAAAATTCGAAAAATTTGCTCCATTTTGATTACGAAAATGTGAACAATTGGTCTGGTGAATTCCATGCAACTCCTGTTGTTGTAGACGTGGGCAAAGTGAACTCAGTGATTGATAAGCATTGGCGCGGTGACCAATAAATAAATACGCTTTGCCAACCAATTCAAATCAATCTTATCTGATCGATTCGATAATTCGACGGGCGCGCAACAGTTAATGTGCACGTATGAACACGAATTAAAGAAACGAAACAAAAACAACGCACAAAGAAGAAAAATGATTCGCATCGCCACGATCACACAGAAGATTTCATTACGCCTCGCACATTAAGCCCCATCTCGATCAATCGCACCAATTCATTAACAGTGAATAGATTAGATATCATGCAAAACGGGAGAAAATGCATCGAAGAGAGAGAGAGAGAGAGAGAACAATATTTGAAAAAAAGAAAGAGACCAGAAAAAGGGAGCCAAGACAAGCTAAGGCAAAAAATAGAGATCATTTACTTTATCACATCAACGATTTATTGCACAAACCTTTGGCTACTGGCTCATCGTCGCAGGATAGACACACACACACACTGGCATTTGGAGCTAAATGAGGTGCATAAAAGAAACGAAGAGTGTAAACTTAGCACTAGCACTTATTACTTTGAAAATATTACTTAACTCCATTAATTGATTAAAAACTAGTTGCTGAACCTAATTAGTGAGCTCTTTGCTCGGGGAAATGCGAAAAATAGAATCCAAATGCACGAGGACGAGAGAGAAAATAATGAAAAACAATTAATCAATTAAAGATTATCATTTGTTATACACAAAATGGGATACGGGTGTACAGTGGAGCAGCAACGAGAGAGAGAGAGAGAGAGAGAGAGAGAGAGAGAGAGAGATCAAGTGATTGGCGTCTCGCAACACCCAACACATAAACCCAACCAAACCATGCAGAGAAAGGTGTAAGGAGCGACGCATTTTTTTAAATTAGATTTTGTCGAGTCAATTATAGAATAACGTCCGTGTGTGCTGTTCGCAGCGGAAACTAAGAATTAACTAATAAAACGATAAAATTTTACCGCATACACTTTGTGCACTGCACTGTCTTATTTTCGTTAGTGCATTGATTTATTTGAAGTTGAGTGTCTCTTTTATAGGTTTTATTGATTGACAAATATATCTAAGGGTTTATTTTTCATTTGATCATTACACAATTATTATATTGTGATCAGTCGCGACTGCCTTGCGGCCCGGAAATCCCATGATTTATCCACATAAAATATACAAATGATATTCAATTGATACTCAAATCGATGTTGAGCAAGCAGCTCTAGACCATGATGGATACACTGAACAGATGAATATCATTCATTTTATTGATGGAATGATGGATGTGCTGTGCACACGGTTTCAGACGTGCAACTAGTTAATCGAACAAATAAGTCTATGGACTATCAACTCATCGTCGTATCGATCGTTGACTTGTCCACTTTTCAAATAAATCGATGGTTTTTCGTTTTTTTTCTCACTTTTTCATTTAAATAACCATTTTTCTCCTTACAACAGCAAAAAAAAAACGAGTGTTCTTTTCATAACAAAAGAAACATTAAGTTGTTACATCCTTTTTATAATTTTATTATTGGAAAATAATTCTA